CCAGAGGTCAAGGGCTAGCCTCTGATTGCAGCATTCTGAGCAGAACATGGAGGCCAGTCAGCCCAGCCCTGGGATCCAGCTGCCAACCAGCCAACTGGCCCAGCATCACCTACTCAGGGTTACCAGTGAACTTCAGCCTCACAGGGAGAAATAAAAAAGACCTGTATGGTGCACATCACCCTGGCACACTGGCTAGACAAAGTGGTCGATTACCTGAGCAGGGAACCCACCTTTGATCCTGTGGTTACTACAGAACATTTGCTACCACCCAACAGCTGTGGGACCAATTATTTACCAGGTGAGCCCCACCCCCTCCAAAGCACATGGTCACCAGGCCACCTGTTGCCTGTTTGCCTTCAGGTCACTGCACTATCTGAGTGTTTGTTCCTCTGAACCCTCGGTAAACTGGGAGCAAGCTCATAGTGTTACTGTAGGGATCGCTGGGGTCCTCCCTGGTAAGTTTTCTCTGGGAGCCTAGACAGTGGAGAGGTCTGCTGGAGGGGCTGTGATCGAGCCAATTGTTCATTTTCTCTTCCTGTTGAAGAAGCCACTGCCAAATTTGTGATTCTCTTTGGGGCCCTGGGCTAAGCTCTTTTCTAATATTACAAAGAGATTGGAGATCCTATTAGGGGGTCTCTGTCCCAGGTGAATCCAGATTAGAGATGCCAGTTGTGAGCAGTGGGGTCCCAGGGTCACCCAGCTGTCTGAGATGGGGCTGGTTTGGGCTCATTCATTCAGCAAATATATTAGAAGCCCTGCCAGGTACAGACACGCCTCTAGGCACTGACCATAATCCAGTGCACAGAGCAGACCCCAAGCCTGTACTCCAGAGCTTCCTTCTGGTTGGGAGTGATTCAGTCACACTAGGCTGCACAGGCTCGTAGTGTCCACAGGACAGCCGATGTGATGTCCTCCTGGCCTCCTCTACCTATGGCTGCATCTTCCCATATTGTGAAGAGGATGGTAGACCTCTGTTCAGCAGAAAACGTGAGTCAGTTTTGGATCAGAGCCATGAAGGGAGTATGGGGACTATGAATTCAAGGTGCTGGCAAAACCCTGGATCCCTCATGGTGGGATTTCTGCAAGAGGGCAGAGGTCTGAGGGCTTCCCTAGAAAAAAGGACACAAGTCAGAGAGCTGTGCATGTGGACATGGGTGGTGTGGGTGAGTGGGGAGGTCAGTGGACAGAGGACAGAGTGAGCCCCTCAGAAAATTCATACCCTACTGCTCCTAATCCCAGCCCAGTCTGCACCCCTATCCCGGGACCTTGCTCCCTAATCTGGTAGAAACTCCTAGGTGGTAGCTTGGTGTAGCCCGCCCTGTGGGAGTTGAGTTTCAGTGGGAGGCAAAGAACCACACAGGACAGCTAGTGAATTAGGCAGCATGTAGGTGCAGGAGCCAAAGTTTGAGGTGATAGAAAGGCCCTGGGGTTCATTCGTTTGCTCATTGGTCAGTATTCCTGAAGCACCTACTCTGTGCCAATGAGTGCCATGAACAGAGTGGACACCAGCCCTCTCAGTCCTAATGGGAGGGAACAGGGACACTGAGAGAGCATGTCAGGTTCCCCTGAAGAAGGGGACAGGTGGTTCCCTCATTGATCCAGAGCTGTCAGGTAGGAGGGCTTTCTGCCAGCCCCTCCTGGGTAACCAGGCACGTCTCTGCCAGGATTGCCAGGTTGAAGGTGGACAAGGTATAGATCTGGCTTCTGGATGGGCAGGAGCAGCAGGCACAGGACCCCAGGCTTTCTGAGTGGTGCTCTGGGAGGGCCGTGTGGAATGGAAGGGCAGGCCTCACACTCTGCTGCTCACCTATCTCTCTCCCCAGGGCCATCTCCTGCATCCTGGGCATCTGGCTGGACCAGCACCTCAAGAATTTCCCAGCCTGATGATGCTGTTGGCCTCCATAGAGCTCACCTTTCCAGTCTCCTACCTGCCAAACCAGGCCCAGTGCCTCCATTCACAGCGGGAGCACCTGAGCCCACCGAGGCTGAGACAGGAGGAGGAGGCCTCTGGGGGGTGGTGTGGGTGAGTGTGCCTTTGGAAGGCACAAAAAAGGTAGTGAGGGTGGTAACATGTCTTCTTCTTGCATCTACAGAACCGGCTCCAGAACAACATCAGGATAACCCTCAAGAGGCAACGCCACTCTCGTGGCCTCTCCAGAGCCAGAGCCGGATCAAGGCCCAGCTTTCACTGAACTTCAAGAGGCAGAAGAACCACCTGCAGCATTTGAGCAACTCACCCCAGTTCCTGCGAGGCAGAGAGGGCACCTCCCACCCCCATTTAGATGCAGTGTTAAAAGTTTTCTGTTCATGTTACATATGCTTATAATTTTACTATATTTTTATGATATTTAATAACATAGAGTGTACTGTAGAGAACATTTACTGAAATACTCTTAAACATAACCTTAATTTAGATTCTATAAAATTTAACCCTATTAACCCTCAGAGCTTTGAGCAAGTCTGTTTTTCTGGACCCTGACCCACCCAGGGAGAACTGTCCTCACCTTCTCCACCTGCCCTTCCTGGAGCCAGGACTCTGCTTCCCAGGGAGCTGGCTCCACCCTGTGCCCAGACTCAGAGCTGACTTCCCATTGGGGGCATCCTAAGCCCAACATGGAGGCCTGTCAGCTCAGCCCTGGGCCTCCATGTTGTCCCAAACACCACTCACTCAGGCTTCCAAATAAGCTTGACCCTCACAGGGCAAAAAAAATTTAAAAATAAAAATTGACATGTACGGTGCAGACCTCCCAGGAACAGTTACTGGACAAACTGGTCAAATACTTGGTGCCCAGCTTCCTGGGCAGCATCCCCACCTTGGTCCCCACCCACCCTTCTGTGTTAATACAGAACATTTGGGACTAACCAACGTGTGTGGGACCAACCATGTACCAGGTGAGCCCCTGCCCCTCCACAGCACAGTGGTCACTCAGCCACCTGCTTGCTGTGCGTCTCCAGGTCACTGCATCTCTCTGAGTGTTTGTTTCTCTGCACATGGGGAGAGCCTAGGCCCAGCCTCATAGGGTTATTGTAGGGATTTGGGGGGGGGAGTTCCTCCTGGGAAAAGGCCCACTGGGAGCCTGGACTCTGGAGAGGTGTGCTGGAGGAGCTATGGTTGTTCCAATTGGCCATTTTCTCTTCTTTTAAAGAATCTTCTGCCTTATTTGTGATTCTCCTCAGGTCTTAGGCTAAGCTATTTTCTCTTTTGATAAAGACGCTGGAGATTCCATTAGGGGTCCCTGTCCT